AAAAAAATTATGATTTTAAGCGAAGAATATATAGAATATAAAAACATAACCTTAGTAATATAACAAGTAATATAGCAACAACGATGTGCAACTTCATCAAAGCCAACGGAGAACAGTGCAAGCTTGCTCGCAACAAAGATCGATGCGGAAAGCATCAGATTATTGCAGTTGAAGAAAATAATCTTGAAGTCAGTATAGTAGAAGAAATGTCGCCACAAGTCAATACTCCAGTCATTGCCGAAGTTGTTGATACACCAGCGCCATCGGTAATCAAGCCCGTCGAGGTCTCGAATGTCGAAGTAAGTAAAGTTCCAGAATTGGATGAGTCGATTGTCGAACCGGTGATCGCGGAAGGCGTGGTATATGAAGAGGATCAAAGTTCGGATTTGGAATTAAATAATTCAAACGACGAATATGAAGATGATTTCTTCTTTGAGAATCACATTGAACCCGAGCTATGCATTCAGTATGATGTGAAGGAGAACTCACTTGATATCACCGCTACTGTTGGTGCATTTGAAGAATACCTTGATACGAATGACATTGATGTCGTGATTTCGGAAAAGACTGACAAAAGGGCGTACGAAGATGGTTATCACTATTGCTTTTACATCCAGCAAGGCAATAAAACAATAGCTCATTACTATTGCAAAAATAAACAGATGATGCTGAACATTCCAATCATGCTTGATGATCTAAATGTCACTGATTACTGCGTTGCAAATGCGCTATATGATAGTCGCCTATACAAACTATGCTGTATGATGAAGCGATCGTGGTTCAATGATAATAATAACACCTGGAACTTGGCAGGTTTGTTATACCGGAAACAACACGTTGATCTTGATCTAATGCGTACGACACATTTGTGCATCCTTTCTACAATGACAGCTCGATTTGATCAAGCCGCCGCGTTGAGTATTCAATGATTGGGAAACATCCAAGTATCATCCAAAGCTATCTGAGTCTCAAATCAAATCTATTGCCGGTGGAACTAATCCGGATGGATACAAGCAATGGAAAGCAGAATATGAGCCAAAGGAATTCAAAGAAACGAAAGAAAAGACAAAAAAAGATGACGAATTTACTGTTCCTTATTATCCAAAGTTTAATATCTACTACGAAAAGGGAGAATTGCCGCCAATCTTCGATTGTAAGAACACAGAAACGTATCTTGATGTTATTAAACTGAAGAAAGGAGTCATCACAATGGAAAGACTCTACAAGTTTATCAAAAACAACATTGCTTACATTTTGCAAGGGGGGAACGGATACTACTTGACTAAGAATCGAGATGCTTTCGGAGACATCGATTACACAGTTATCCCCCGTATCAATCAATTCGATATGTGGTTCGATATTAACAATGCGATTGAATTCAATGATGATGGACTTATCGAGACTGACAACACGGAATTCGATACCGATAGCATCATTACTTGGCAGCTGGCTGACGTGATTCTCCATTATAGAGATGATATCACGTTTGGTAAAGTTGATTTTATGCCATACAACGCAAAAACAGGATCCTGCGGCACTCAATTGAACACGTTTGATTGGAATTCCAATGAAGTATTTAACAAATTCAACGGATTCGTTCATACCTACGATCCTAACTTTATTGTCGATCAATCGAAGTTCAAACTCTTTGAAGGTCATATCAGACACATTTGGT